CCCCCCCCCCCCCTCGAGGGACGCGGCGGCGCGACTATTTTTAATCCTTTTTCACGCAACACCTATCCTCCGGATGGCTCCTCAGCCCGCGCCCAAATCCGATGCCAAGTTGACGTTTGGTTCGGAGTGGAGTTGTTGTCGGGAAGAGAGTGTTGAACCCGCAACCTTGTCCCCTGCAAGAGACGTCTTTGGTGCTTACGTCATGGACGGTATTGACTACTTCCATCGAGCGCTACGATTCAAAAAAATTGTTTTTCTCCTTTACGCAATCATTGTGTGCTTATGAAACACTGGAAAAAAACACATTGGATCTAGAGTCCAGACTCTTGAAAACATTGACAAGAAAAAGGACTCTTGATTCTATCAGATTCAAGCTTGAATCAAAAGGAAATCCGCTCAAATTAAGAGGATTGGTTCTTGATTTAAGCAAAAATCCGATTGAATCAAGAGTTTTTTTTTTTCTTGTCGATGTTTTCAAGAGTCTGGACTCTAGATCCAATGTATTTTTTTTTCAGTGAAGGGAACATTCCGAAAATTTGAACCGTCCTCATCGGAGTTGGAGGGTTGAACCATCCGAAAGCTGTCAAAATAGTCGAAGCGTAAAATTGGACCGAAACAAATGTACGAAAGTTCATAGAAGGTGACTACGCTACGTACCGAGCAATGGACAAAATTTTCCACCATAATGTTATTCCTCTAATTTATGGTTTTAGAAGTTCCCATGACCGGACATTAAGTGGGTAAAGGATAAAAACTGGGACCACGCTGGATCGTGAGGGACCAAGAAGGACCTTGGCAATTGGTCTGTGGTATTTGCTCGAGACCGTCGGGGTTGACCTATTAAGTTAGGTGAGCATTCAACAAAACCTATTCTACTTTTGTCTTTGTATTAATGCATCTGCGTTTTCACAGAATTTCATTTCAGAGTAATCTACTTAAATTACAGAACCGATAAAATAATCCAGAAATTACGTCACACCGAGATTGGATCACACACATGTTTTCTTGAAGGGGAAAAAAAAGAAAAAAAACTTACAGACAAAACTGGGATGTGTTTAATTTTGGATGAAAAGTAGTTCCAAAAAATTATAGGTATAACGTTGAATTTTGGGTGTGAGCCTCCCCTTTAGTATGGTACATCTGGTCTTTCGAATTTGATAATGCTTCGAGCAATGATCTGTATGGATTTTTGTCCTTCCCACACTTTAATAATTCCACTTAGTAATGTGAACCTGGTGTTTTCTTCATACTTCTCCCGGAAAATGTTATCATTAAGGGCAGTCATCGTAATCTGGAAACGGGTTAAAATAGCATATTCAAATTATTGGTCAATACGATAATAATTTCATTCAAGAGTGAACAGTCTTAACGAAACTGCACGATTTTACATCGTAAGATATATGCACCGCGCTATTTCTATTCTAGAATTAGAGTTTACATTGAAATATTGCAATTGTAGTTGGTACTATTGATGATATAGCTGTAATGGATGTTTGATATCACCCATAACTTGTTGATAAGGACATATGAAATCCTCGAACTTCTGTATTTTCTGAACTTGTTTAATATGCCGCTTTGTTGGATTACCTATGTATAAAATACGAGAACTTAAGATGTCGCAGCCTGAAATAGGTAATGATGGTACTCACCGCCATAACATTTTCCTCATCGGTCACTTGAACTGTTAACTTATCGAATACTTTATTATCTGGTGTATTTTCATGAGTAATTGTCGGTTTTTCGAGTAGATGTCCTTTAAAATCTGCGAATACCAATAGACATTAAAAATCGTGTGAATGATAAAAAGTACTATGACCAGGTAATTAGCAGGACATTGCGAATGTAACAGCTTTTTACCAGTTATGGCTCAACTATTGTTTATTTTCCCAAATTTAAACCATATTCTGAATCCATTTTACATGAGTGGATCAAGATGCATGAATCATAAGAGAAATGGTTATCTGACGAATGCGCTTGGAGCATTTTGAACAGTCAAAGTACATTAAAGGCGAATTTTGTGAGATCCATAAAATAATACGAGTATAATGTTTATAATGAAGTTGGGACTTCAAATTTACCATCTGTAATTGACTGAGAAATTAACCATCGCAATTTTCTAACTATTTGGTTATATATTGTGCACTCGGTGCTTTTTACGCTACATACTGTGAACTAAGTATTTGTAATAAACAAATTCAAGCTGAAACGGCTACAATATCTGCGTCGATTATTCTCTTGGAGATTGCATTGTCTAATATCGTCAAACTGTGATTAGACACACAGAAGTAACGATTTTTTAAAGCGACTATTTTGTACATTTTTATGTTTTTGATATTCTAGGATACGAGGTGCTTCTTACCAATAAGTTGCCCGTCTTGACCGGATTTGAAGATCTCATCAATCGTAATGAACTTAGTGGCTACGTTAATTCGTAGGGGCTGTATTCTCTCAATCAAAGTAGCTCTGTTTAAAAGAATATAGAACTGGTTATTGTTGAATTTATTAGGTTTTACGAGAAATCTTGTCAATCGGTATGATGCCCCTTCCTGTAAAGTCGGTAAAATTTCAGACATTTTAAAATAACTATAATGGTGCATGGTTTTATAGTACTTTGTGTTTCACAGATTTTCTCAATTATAATATATGTGAAGAAGTTGGAGTATGACGCACCATAAAAAGAGAAATCCTCCACCTTTATCTATTACTACAACAGTGAAACACCAGTTATATTCCAAATTTTCCTCATTTTTCCGTTTCTCTTTTCCGCTGAATGATCTCGTCCGGGAAAAATATGTGATCCGGCGTAAATAAAACGTTTCTCATCATGATCTTGTATACGAATGAGTTCATCCAATTAAGAATATTTCATAAACTTGGTGCCTTGAAGTTGACTTGATTTGCTCCAATACCGTGGAAAAACTGAAGAAGTGAATCTTTTAAAAAAACAAGATAAGTACGAAGAATCTCCGCGAGTTGAGTTATTTAAACTTTTGTGTGATACGTGACTAGTGCCATGATCCTAAGTTAAACTACATATCGACGGTGAAACTACCAAGCACGTATCTCGTTTGCGGTGTTTAAAAATCTACGCTCACATTTTATTTTTTTGAAGTAGACCAAATCAATATCATTCCTCGAAATTTTCACAGAATTTCCTTCGCACGAAGAGGAAAAATCACAGAAATTTTCTAGACTGGACGTTAAGTAGTTTTTCATTTAAAAAATAAAGTATGACAGGAAGTCTTGCGACGTCGCAAACCGAGATACGTGGTTTGGTAGTTTCACCGTCGATATAGTTTTATATGCAGTCCAATGGCTTTTTGTGCGATTTCATATTTTTAGGAGGTAATATCGTCACATAACCATTTTGTACCGAGGAAAATCAATTTACATTCAGAACTAAGATTAAATTGAAAGTACACACGACAACAAACAACATTGCATCGCCCTTAATAGTGATAATGTGTATTTTTAATGTGATGCCTCCACTGAAATTAACCTACCTACATCACACTTTTTCTGATTTTTCGTTTCACTTTTTCCGCATATACGTATGCTCTTTTTAACAGAGGAGTGAATAGCACTCTGCCTCAAGATTTTGGGAGCATACTTTTTCTAATATTCAAAGGAATTCCACACAAACGCTCGCAAGGTATCGTGTTTTCCAGTATTCGGTCAAGAAAATAAAACTTCATAGAACGTTATGAAGAAGGCAATGTAAAATGCATTTATGGGCTGATCACAGTTGATGGTTGAGTTTCAATAGATGTGAGTTCCAATTAGATACAACTGAGAGAATGTTTTGCACATAATATTACAGAATTAAGTAACCTGTAGTTTTTCATGCAGTGCCGGTTCAAAGCAAACGCCTTCAATCTCTCCAGACGCATCCGTTGCGACAAAGTTGAAGAATGGATTTCCATTTTTCGACGTTTTAATTGCTGTCAATCTACTTACGACAACCAAAATGCACACATTAAAGCTATATGGATTTAAATCACTTATTCTTTTCGTTTCCATAAACGACATGGTGTATGGCTGTTTGCAGAGAAACTTTGTTCAGAACCTTCAGAAACAGATGCAATCACGTATTTCAATAAAATGCCACTATTTAGCGGTAATTTTCGAGAGACCAGGAGGCAAATGCGAAGTGAAATTATTCGGAGTTTTAAAATATTGAACACGAAACCTTAAACTAATTTTATTTTTAACATTAGCTTCTTCGGAGACTTTCATACCGTAACAGAGTTAGCTCTGTTGGTGTAAATTTTGAACACCTCACTGCATGAGTTACACCTGGTTGATGTAGAAGTATAACTAAATACGATTCGTGAGAGAAATGTGGATGAACAAAGTCTAATAAGTCAAATGAAATCTTTAAATCTTCTACAATGTAATCATTCTATTCTAATAATCGATTTAATGTGTGTTGATAAAGCGTGGTACTGAGGTCAAAATAGATTGTGTGCTCATCAAAAACAATCTCGACTCTCACGAGAGAGAAAGAGTAAAAATGAGGAAAAGATGTCGACATTTTTAACATTCGGAATAATGTCATGGAGTATATAAGAGTGGAATGATTTGTTCGGTCGGGTTACTTAAAGATTTTACAACGATCTTGTTATTGTGAAAAATAATCTTCATTTTTGTTACAAATTCCAAAAGAGAATATTTAGAGTACTGTCAAATTTAACATAACAAGCAACCACACATTGAAAAAAAAAAGTACGGTCGTATGAACCAAAGTTTGGTGCTCCATGTCATCCCAACTAATTCGGTTTGTCAAACCAAAGTTTCGGTTCGCCAAAGCAAACGTTCGTTTCGTGTAACCGAACTTCGACGGTAAAGTGAACTGACGAACGAAATTCAGTCATATGAGCAGAACGTCCGGTTTCACGGACTGAAAGTTCCGTTTGACGAATCAAATAGTTGTGATGATAAGGAGTGCTGAGCGTTAGGTTCATACAACCGAACTTTTATTTCAGTGCACAACACTTTCACATTTTTTAGACAAATTTTGGCTTTTCCGGAAACTTCGGTATTATAGACTCGGTAAAGCTGGTATCCTCTTGACTTTTTCCAATTCTAAGAGCCCGTTGGATGCCGATCCGGGGACATTTTTGTACGTGCCGTATCTGCGCATCGATCCGCGTCACACAGTCACACGTCCGCCGGCCGAGCCTCCCGCCAAAGTTGGAATCGAATCCATTAGGCGGCCGCTATTACGGGGCGAAAGGAAGAGTCACGGGAGATACCGTTGAGGCTGGTCAGTCCTGCCTCCCCCTCGAACATGAACCGGGGGAAGGGGGGACGGGGAGGGGACAAAGGGGAGGAAAAACAAGTAGCCAAATTAATTACAAGGCTGCAGTGCGTCGAGTCGCGTCGCCGTGGCTGGAAACCGCGAACCGGGGGACGGTGGAGGGTGGGGGAGGGGGAGGGGGAGGGGGTTGTTCGCCACCCCGCAACGCAGACCAATTACTTTTCCACGGCTATTTGTATGCAGCAGATTCACGATGCCAGGACAAGCTCTGTTCTGCCTCCTGCCTCCCTCCCCCTCCCCCTCGACTCCGCGACTCGACCTACCGATTCAAATTGGCTCCTCTCGCACAGTGACCCCTAAAGTTGACTCGAAATAACTTGGAGAAAGGTTTGAAGTGCCAATTTGGTGTATGCTAAAGTTATTTTTTAAAAAAAGACGGAAAAAAATGTTGCGTCTTTGTGTGTTGATACATATGTGCTGTCACATAAACTTTACGACGTTGTTTTAATTTTTTCAAAATCTCAATGAAATATTTTTAAAACTTTTTTGAGAAAATAAAAATTTTAAATATTTTTACGAGGGGCCATTAAAAAAGGTTTTTGATAAATTTACGACTGAATGTGTTTGGAAACGAAGCAAGAAAAGTTTCTACACCAGACATTCATTAAAAACTTATCGAAATAGAGATTTTGCAGGTATCTGAAATTTGATGGATTTTGTGTTTAAGTGGAAACTACTGTGAGTGAACTGAACACGAGGATACCCTTGGTTCATGAATTGAACAATTATTGGAGAAGATATGACAAAATGATCTAATCTGCTAAAATAAATACTTGTGTTTAAATAAGAAATGCCGCCAAATGACGTCACCAAGCTGTGCTTTTTCTCACGTTTAAATCTATTTTTATACTACTTTACATATCAGAAAAATATTTTTAAAAATATTATGAAATCAGCTCTTTAAGCATTTTTAGAAGGAGCAATAAAAAATTTGCATGCAACTTCTCCATTATGCCATACATCGGTGACCGACGTATGAAACCACGTATTTCCATTTTGGGCATTGCAGACTTCCTGTCTTAATTAGTTTCTTTTTTGTGAAAAAAGTCAACGTAGGTAATATCTTGAAAACTGCCTTGATTTTATTTCTCTGTTAGTAAAATATTCTGTACAAATTTCAAGATATAAGGTTGTCCTGTTCCTCTTCGAAAACATAAAATAGGGTCGAAAATGTGGAAACACCTCAATAAAGATACGTGGTTTTGCGCTTTGCCCATCGTTACTCATGAAAGTTTGATCAAATTCGCATCGAATCCGAATAATCCCAGTATCAAAAAGATGGAAAAGCAAGGTGCTTCTCATGAATATCAGCTCATAGTTAGTTAGTTAGTCAGTTATTTTATTTATAGACATTCATCGTCCTAGGCTATTAACGTATTTACAAAGAATTTGGAAGATGGGTGTATATACAAAAATTTATAATTTTAAATTAAGGGAGGCAAAAAGTTTCAGAAGTTCGGTTCATATTGGGCAAAATAAAATATTATACAAGGATCTCACAGTTTTATCTTGATAAAAAATATTTTCTATGAACTAAAATGATCCATTCTCCTCAGAGTAACTGTTGATGTTGGTTCAAATAACCGCTCTGAGTAATTCAAAGGTTACTCTCTTATTGTTGTCCGACGCCCTAACAAGTTCTGCCCATTGTACTCCGTGAAAATAATGTTCCTGCTCTACACTTGAACCGCACGGAACATTTGTTTTTTCACTTTTTCCTCCTAGTCCTTTCTCCTCCTCCTCTCCAGTCCTCACCCGCGCCTTCCACGATATTTAAAAATATCTCCACGGCGGCAAATAGGCGCCGGGTAACATTTTAATGCATGCAATTTCTACGGTCATCAAATTGAGAACCGTGGACTTTTCTGACCGAAAGATATTTAAAATGAATGCCGGAAATATATTTATTTATTTATTTTTTAAAAAAAGGAAGCAAGCGTCATTTTAAATAAATAAATTGCCAAAAGAAAAGAAATTTTCCATTTGCAAGCGATCGCGATGCAATCGTCCAATAGCAATCGAGGATTGACCCCGGCGTAGTCAATCCTCGATCCCTATTGGACGACAGCATGGCATTTTGGAAATTGCATCTGTGTCATCAGATTTTTTGGGCGGATAGATGCTCTTTTGGATGAAAGTTAAATATTTGTTCCTTATTGCAAAATGCAGTACATTTAGAAGTTGATGATTATGTACGCTCATAGCCAAGTTGTCGCCATGACTCTGCATTTGCATATAGTATTCCCAATATAAATGGGAAACTCATTTAAAGGACAGTGTCTGTCTTACAGTTATGCTGTTTTCCGCAACACTCGATGAATCGATGTCAATCATTCGATAGCATTATTTCGATAATGATTCAAAAATCGAAGCGCAGCATGATTCTCGGAAGGACGGGGCGGTTTTTTTCCCCTCGCGGAACACGGCTTTCGCGTGTAAAGTTCAATGGTTCTAGAATAGTCAAGAAAGCAGGAGCCTGGTGACTCTAATTTAAGTTCAAATTACTTTTTCAGCGGCAGAATTTATATTCATCACTTCCGGTTCTCGACCCCTTTCCTGGAGGGAGGAAAAGCCTTTGATGTGCGGAAGGTTTTTTTTATTTAGTTTGCTCTTTCTTTCCCGTTGATGTAAATTAGTACCATGTCGCTTGTCCCCTCGGATGAGGCACAAATTGATCGTGGACATTGTAAGTTCCTATGTGCCAGCTTTTTGTCACGCACTGTACGCTCAAGTGCAAACAGAAGAGACTGTTTTAAAACATTGCACTCTCAAATATTTTCGATCTGAAACAACTAACAATACTGATTTAAACAGGGGTTCCCAGGATTCACTGGTCACCAGAATGTGATATTCTATGGGTCAAAATACAATTTCCTGTTTCAATGTGTTCTTTATGAGTCAGATATAATAAGTTATTTTGCTCTTTTCCCTCCCAAAAAAAGTGATCCCTGTCGAAGTTTCAGTCCCCCAAATTTTCTGGAAAACCATCAGTTTTTTGAGAATTTAGCGACGGGTAATACCCAAAATTCATGATAAATGACTAATTCTAAGATCAGCTCCCAGAGCAAAATTAGCATTTTGATGGCGAAGAGTGAAACCAGGTATCTCAATCGCGGTGTTGCGAAATTTCCGCTCAAAAATTTTTTTCAAGGAGGAACACTGGAATAAATCAACTTTATAGCTTGAAATTTTCACAAAATATTTCACCAACGCAGAGGACGCATCAAGAGAGTTTTCAAGAAATTACGCCGTGGACCAGTTTTCCATAAAAAAATGAACTATGACAGGAAGTCTGCAACATTGCAAACGGAGTTAAGTGGTTTTACACTTTGGCCGTCGATTTGCTGTATACATCAGAGTCAAGTCAGAGTACATGGAGTCTGTCAACTCATATTCCACACTCAAAAAATTCTGAATCAACTGAATTGGAAATTGAAAAAGTATGTACTTTTTTCAAAAAATCAACAGTATTTAATGTGAAAAACCCCTCTTGTATAATACAAGGAATTCTTAAAATTCTTAAAAAAACAACATTTGGTATTGCGCAGGAAACAGACATTATGGCACAGACAGTTGCAGCGTGGAATGCTTTCAGCTTTGAAAGAGATAGAAACTTTTCCACCGTTGTTCCCGAGTTTCCCTCTGATTTCTGCCGACGATGGAGGCGAAGCGAAACAATGAACAAACGGAAGTCTTTATAAATCAATTAAAATCTAGGTGAGTCCTTAATTTTGTTCCCTCTCTCCACTCCGTCCTTTCGAGTGGCTGCTTTAATCTCGAAGCTCTCAAAAGGACAAGAAAAGTACTTGCTTATTTTGAACAGCTTTTTCAGGAGCTTTGATTTGGATTTTCAGGGAATAGTGAAACGTAACGGGGAATAAGATGTATCATCACCAATTGGTCAATTTAACCCAAAAAATCACTAACCAAAAAATAGTAATCGCATGTTTAGATTTCTTAATTTCTACTTCCCATATTGACCGGAAATGTTGGTCATATTTCTTACTGATTATTT